GCAGGAATGTTACATTTGACAAGACTAGCTTGTTGAAAAATCAGGACTCAAAGCAGGTGTAGAGTTTTAATGAGACCACATATATGTAGTAGAAGTTAGATTTTGATGCAACTCCATTTATTTCATAGAGTTCGTCTACTTCGACTCAAATATTTGATTCAATTGTAGCTCATGAGGTATATGTTGATAGTGCTCAGGAGGATCTAAGGAATATGTTGAGGATGAGGTTCCTGCTCAAGAATCTATTGCTAAAAGTAGGACCAAGAACCAGAATGTCCCAAAGACAACACAGTTGAGGGATCACATTATATTTACACTTTCAACCACAAAGGTAGAAATTCCTTATCACTACAAAGAAGCATTAGAAAGTACAAAATGTGATCTTTAGAGAGTGGGGATAGATGAAGAGATGGAGTGTCTTCGGAAGAATGGTCCTTGGAGGTTGGTGAAGCTTTCTCCAGAAAGGAAAGTCATTGGGTGCTAATATGTGTATGCAAAGAAGGAAGGATCACATAGAGCTGAGGTGCAATACAATATAAGGTTAGTAGCAAAAGGTTTTGCATGTTTTGCACAACGAGAAGAATTTGATTATGATGAAGTGAACTCCTCAGTGGTCAAACATCCCTGAATTCGTGTTCTCTTAGCACTTGTAGCACAGTACGGTCTGATCATGGAACAATCGATGTGAAGATTGTATTACTACACAAAGAATTGCAAGAGGAGATCTACATGTTGCAACCTTCTAGATATGAAGCATCAAAATATTTGGTTTGCAAACTGAATAAGCATTTGTATGGGTTAAAGCAGTTACCACAATAATGGTATAAAATCTGATCAGTTCATGAGGAGATAGGAATACGCGAGGAGCTGGTATGATCATTGTGCATATTTTAAAAGTTTGCCAACAGTGTGTTCATTTACTTGCTTCTGTATATTGATGTATGTTGATTGCATATGTTAGTCAGATTGAGGTTGATAGGATGAAGAATCAACTGTCCAAACATTTCAAAATGAAGGAGATGGGTGAAGCTTACAGAATTCTTGGCACGAAGATTCTCAGGGACAAAACGACTGGAGATGTTTGGCTTTCGAAAGAAGTTTTTGTTTGGGAGGCGTTGAAGAAATTTGGGATTCATGACTCAAGCAAAGTGTTGAATCTACCCATTACATCTCACTTTCAGTTGAGTTCAGACTAGTGTCCTAAAATGATCAGGAAAGGAAAGATATGCGATCGGTTTCTTATGCTAATATAGTAAGCAGTCTGATGTTGCCATGGTTTGTAGTAGACCAAACATTGCACAAGCAGTTGGTGTTTCGAGTAGGTTTATACAGCTTCCAAGAAGGATTCAATAGCAGCGTTGAAAAGTCCAATGAGTTATTTGAATGGTACAGTTGACATTGACTTTGTGTTTGAGAGGCCGTCAACTATTGCAGATTTTTGTGTAGGCTACACTGACTCAGACTATGCAGGTGATATAGATATTTGTATATCTACAATAGGCTATTTATTCACAATGACAAGAGATCTAGTCAGTTGGAGGTCGTTTCTTCAGTCTACGGTTTCTTTCTCTACTACGGAGGTTGAGTACATAACAATCACAGAGGCGATGAAGGAAGCAATATGGTTGCAGGGCCTATTGTATAACTTGGTAGTTGATCAAGAGTCACTGACATTGTTCTGTGACATTCAGAGTTTAATATTCTTAGCCACAATCCAGTTCATCATGCTCGTACCAAACACATTGATGTGATGTATTATTTTGTTCGGGACTTGATTGAAGAAGGCAATATTCTATTAAAGAAGATATATACAATGAATAATCCAATGGACAAGCTCACAAATGTACTACCAGCTCAGAAGTTCACCTACTGCAAGAATTTTGTGAACATCTGAGCTAAGTATTGATTGCCCTGAACGAAAATTTGAACTACACGAGACTTGATCCTTTGGAAGGAGGATACGTAAGCAACCATCTTGGTGCAGCTGAATTGAAGTTTGAAGCTCATTTGATCATCTCTTACTTATATGAAAGTAAGAGAAGAGGTCGAGATTGTTGTATTCATGACATTATTTACTTTTATTGTAATTAGAGATAATTTAATCTTTTGGCTTTATTTACCTGTATACTTTAGTTCTCTATAAAATGGACTTAAGGGCTTATTAGAGTTGCATGATAAGAAGAGTGTTGTGACCCCAAACCGTCTTTTATTTCTCCCCATTCAGTGCTAGTGGAATCTCCCTTCCCATGGACGTAGGCGAATCAATTTAATTTCGAAGCACGTAAATCTTTTATTGTTGATTGTCTTTGTGTGAATTTCAATGCTTTCGCATAACAGAAGCATGAGTATTTTTTTAATACCATACCTCTATTATCCCTTAATGAAATGATATATTTGAAAGTGCATAGTTTCCTTCTAGCCATCACCTTGCTACGTCATCTTCCACCAATAAAGAATTAAAAATCAAAGTTACAAATGCGCCAGCATGAGATTTCATTGTTGTTTCTCATGAAGCTTACCTTCAAATGCATCAAGTCAACAAGAACAACCAAAATATAATGTGAATCCATTTGTAATTAGTTTAACATTTAACAGTGGCTAATTAGTAGAGTAATTAGCTTAAGATAGGTAATGAATTTTATCAACAACCCAAATGCTAGGCACTGGATCCAAAAAGAGCAGTTCTAGCTTGCTTAAGCTCCCAAAAGAGAAGAAAATATAATTAAATACAAGAAGAGAGATTTCATTCATTATTCTCTATATCATCATCTTGCAAAAAAATATAAATTAAATACAGAAGGGAGAAATCATTCATTAATCTTGATACCATTGTCACTATCCATATGATACAATGATTATCTTAAGCCGATTGCTGCACTAATCAAGCTATTGCTAACTGCTAAAGCAATTACAAGTGAATTCACCTAAAAAAACTCATGAGGACAGAATGTTGCAGCATTTTGTTACAGTGAACTGTGTTGTGAAGGTAAGTTTTAAGGTTCCAATTCACAAGCAAGCACCCACAGTACCTGTGATCTTCTAAAGCTGCCAAACAATAACCATTCAGTTCATATATGCGACTGTAACATTTTTATAAAGCTGTTCCAAAACTTTATAAAAAAAAACTGAGCATTAATAATTTCAGACATGCTCTTCAATTATCCGGCTTCCATCCATGGCATCTGAGAGCTCTTGTATACTGCAAGAAGTACTCCTCTTCATTTTACCAACCAGCACTGCAATCCTCCCTCCCAATCCTAACCGCAGAAGTTCTCTTCTGAGTACCTCGCAAGTACTAGAATAAGGTGGAACGCCCTCATCCACCATCATCTCAAAATAACGGCACGCCTCTTCAATCTTCCCCTTCTTCTTACACAGCCCATGAACCATTACAGCATAAGTTGACGCAGATGGAAAGAATCCTCTTTTCTCCATACTTTCCCAAACCTCAATCACCCGATCAAACCTCCCAACAACTATCAGCATCTTCAGTAGCATATTATAGGTGTGCCGGTCAGGCAAACAAGAGTCTTTATCCATTCTAGAAAGAAGTCTGAGCGCCCTGTTAACCTCTCGAAGCTTGCAATGCAGAGCTAGTATTGTATTGTAGCTCCAGGTATCAGGCTTGGCACCCCTTTCAATCATTTCATCGAGCAGCTGGTAGGCGTCCTCAGCCTGCTCCCTCTCACACAACAGCTTGATTATGGCGTTGTAGGTGAATACATTCGGTATCTGGTCATGCATTTTCATGTGCTCCATGACTCTCATGGCAGAGTTCAGATCCCTCGATTCACAGTAAGCTCGAACGAAAACTGCGTAGCTTGCAGCATTCGGCTCAAGCTCATGCAAGGTCCTCATCTGCTGGAACCGTTTGAGAGCCTCATCCAGCTCTCCCCCTCTGCAAAGTGCTGCAATGAGAGAATTATAACCAGCGACATCGACGAAGAGATCTCGTTTTGTTTACGGTGGTGGTGGTAGGGTCATCGAGGGCGGCGGCAGCGGCGGCGGAGTGGAGGGCGAAGGAGAAGAAATGCGGGAGTGAGCGTGGAGAAAAAATGCGGATTGCCATTTTAGTACGCTGTTGCTGCTGCTGCTGCTGCTGCTGCTGCTGCACATGGCGTATCCTTGGACCAGGGCTTTCGGATGCATACACAGTTTTTATATATTTATATCTCTAACACTAAAATTATATACATATTTGACATTCTAATTTTTGGAATCAGATAAAAATAACACTATTATTAATTACTTTAAAAATGAAATATATATTTTTATGTATAAATTTATGACATCAAAGTATAGTAAATATAAACATCAAACTTTAGGTATTGATATATAAATGATATCCGCACCTCTTTGATATTTTTGAGAGTGGTACAGTCATATTTATGATACACCACATAAAAATTGTATGATATGTTACGTATGTACATAAATTTGTCTTTTCATTTAGTTAAGCTTAATTAGATTTATTTGGAAGATATTAGAAAACTAAAACCAGTTTTGAAAGATTATGTGACTTAATTAACGGTCTAAGAAAATTTAATTAACCCGGCCTTCTACAGGCGTAGCCACACCCTAACTAAAAGCCCGTTTGGGGCAGCTTATTTGGTACGTCGTCATATTTGGTACGGTGGCATTTTGAAAACGTAACTGTCCTGTTTGGGTAAACTGTGTTTTGGAAGCTTATGCGTTTTGAAAACGCTGGGTTCTAGTCTAATTGATATGTTTGCATGGTTTCCCAATTTTATTTATGGTAGTGGTTTGACTTAAAAAAAAAAAAAATTGTCATATTTATGGTAGTGGTTTGACTTAAAAAAAAAAAATTGTCATAGCTACCACACCTAGTTTATCAATATATTATTTTTAATCAGTTTATCAGCAAAATATTATTTTTAATCAGCTTATCAGCAAATTATTCAATAAGCTGCAGCTGCCCCAAAGAGACCCTAAGTTGTTCCTCATTTTTCTGTCATTACTGATACGACATTTACATCGCATAAATTTCACCCTTATTGATTTTGCACGTTGAATAGTCATGATTTAACTTGTATTCGTGTTTAATTCAAAATTCGTATTATTATTCTATTTAATGTATTGATAATTCCACTATGTTAGTTCATGCATGAATTATAGTACTAATATAATGCACATATTGATCTTGCCTTGGGTGGATGGTCAGTTGAGGCTCCAATTTTTATAGGAGAATGTCCAAAAGCAAGATAAACACATGGGATTATTGTATTAATTAAGTATTTGACTTGTCTTAAGGTGGTAGATAACTAATCTCTTAGGACAAGCCCTAAATATAGAAGCTTAGGGAATTTTAGAATATGAAAAAGTGATTTATAATAGAGGAGTTATAGTGAAACCAACACTTCTTTTATTTAGCGTCTCTGTGGAGGCAGTTTTCAGTAGTGATGATCTCCAAATCGACGACGCTCGTCAGCGGCCCGGTTCCTACTCTCAACGACGAGTTAAGGTACACTAAATTGATGCTTTTCTGGGTTGTCGGTAATAATTTTCTAGTGATATGTTATGTTTGAGCTTTGGATTCGAAGATAGGAGGAAATATGGTGCTAGTGTTGTAAATAGCAATCTTCTGAGTGTTGTGTACGTAAATTTCAATTTTCACATACAACGTTGTAATATAATTACATATCAACCACCTTTAATTTGATTTTGAATGAAATAAGATGCATTTAGTTTTATAATTAGTAATGTTCTCATGTATTTGCTTATCTATCACCTAATCTTTAATTTTGACATACAAACTACATTACATATGCATGAAAAGTTACCTTCTGATTTTAATGAGATATGAAAGATTTGGTTGTGGTATAATAGTTAAAATCTTGGGTTAGGTCTTAGATGTGTAAATACATTAGAATTGGGTGATATGTATGTAAATGCCCCATTCTTATAGAAAACCCTATCACTTCCTAGATTATAGACAAGTCAGATCACAAGCTATAGAACCGAGTCAAGTTTGTTGATCTTGCTAATTCAACAATTACATTCATTTCACAGAAGCTAATATGAAACTTGATTGTTGATCCCTGCATTTTAACTTGTAGTGAAGCTTAATCCGCTCACAATCAGACAGTTTGGCTTAAAAGACATTTCTTTGAAATTTGCAAATATTGGAGTATCCTCTTAATTTAGTTTAACGCTCTACACCGGTCGTGGAGATTTCCGAAGTGACAAAGTACTTTACGACTCGTCTATTAGACTGGGCATTTTTTTCAATAATTTTCTTGTGAGTTTTGTTTCGGCTTTATTTTGTTTTAAATTTTGAGTTTTATTTTATTTTGAACTTGGAGTTTTGTTTTGTTTTGGATTTTGATGCTTCCTTTCTTTTGTTCTGGAAGTTTTGAGTTTTATTTTAGAGTTTTGACAAAGTTCCTTTCGTTTAAAATTTTAACAAAGGGTTTTCTAGGGTGAAATTTTAGCTTGAATTGTTAAAAATAGGTCAAACTCAAAAGAAGGATGAAACGAATGTGAAATATAGGACCCGATTCAAAAATTAGAAAGGGTCAATTTTACAACAAACTCACTTTGATCTTATTATTTTATCGCTCCTAACCTACCACCGTATTGATTGTAGTTTTCTCACTTAAAAGTTTAACCCCCTTTATTTAAAGATGAATAAAAAGATGACTCCAGAATCAAGGGAGTGGTTGACTATCTTACTCAAGAAAGAAACGAGCAAGATACATCAACGAAAGAATGGTAGTTTGTCCCATCAGAGACATGGTCATACTACTGATATATGAAGATGAAATCACTGAATCAAAGATGGAAAAAAAATTAGTCCCTAGCAGAGTCACAAAAACTGATGTGTGTGTGTATATATATATATATATATATAATTTTGATTTTGAAAAGAGTATTTTGATTTTTTAAAAAATGAGACCGTTCAGATCTCATGGATTTAATAGTTTGAATAACTTAGCACGTTGTTACAAGCGATACTTTATCTCGAAAGAAGAGTATATCACTTGATAATAGGCTCAATCATTTAAACTAAGAAATTTATGATATTCATTTCGTCAATGTAATTTCCAACAGATCATTTCCCTATCTAATATAAAAATTAGATAAGGTTTAGATTATCTGAGTTATTGATTCTCTTATTGGCCTAAACCCCTATAATTAATTACATCTTAAGCATCCAAAGTCACTTAAGAAAAACCTCATTATGATTGAGCTTTCCTCTTTAAGAATTCAAAGTTTGATTTTCATGATTGGTAATAGGAAAATCAAGTACGAATAGCTTAATATGGAATATTTATTTTTGAAACCAAATGAGCAAAAGGTAGGGGATGTCGTAGATTCTGAGGGGAATCTCAATGACTTTCCAAACTATCATATTATTTGGCTTTACATTTTAGAAATGATGTTATTAGATGTTTTTTCTTGTCATTTTATTTTAAATATATGACATACATTGTTCAATATATGATCAATGCAGACAATTTAGGAAGATAAGGAGATTTACGCTGTGTCAAATGAACAACATCAGAATCCTAAAAAGAGTTAGGAGTTATATCTCAAGGCATACAATCATGCAAAAGCCTAAAAGATAGTATGAGGATTTATGTTTTGCTTGACGAACAACCTCGAAGACATAAGAGTTTATGTTGTTTAAGTCTATGGAAAGTTTATTTGAAGATCATCCCTCGCTTCATGTTTTGGTCTAGATCGTCGCCCGCCTCATTCTTGAGAAAAGAGAAGGAAAGAGAAAAAACCATGCCTTGAGCGGCCTATCATAGTCTCTGTGTTTTGTTATTGTGATTCATGTGAATTGCATATTGAATTAGTGATTATTATTATTATTATCATTAGTTTTAATCAATAGATTTATAGGATCCTAACCTAAAGATATGTCCTACGTCCGCTATCTTAGGGCTTCCTTTTCACATGCCGGAAATACAGTAAGTACAAAATAAGAATAGCATTGTCGCATGTCAAAATATAGCACGTATAACTTAAGCTAACTTTGGTTAAACTAAGCATGAATGATGGATTTGATAAAAAATTATGAAGTTTAGGGTACAATTAAACTAAATTGGGCCAAATAAATTTAAGGTCAATCCAAATTAGCTTGGTTTAAGGGCCAAATTATGTATTGGAGCTAAACAATCAATTCGTAAATGATAGGGCTGAAGTTGAGTTTATTAGAAGAAAATGACATTGAATTACAATAACTTGATCAATCATATTAAAGATTGAGGTTAGGATGCTTATATCAACTTTAGCTTAGGCTATGGGATCAAAGAAGGAGCACTAAACTAATTTAAGTATAAGTCCCTTAAATTGAGAAATTATTGACTTCATTAGGTGAGTAGTGAAAATTGAATTAAGCACTCAATGGAATTTTAAAATTTAAAACTTTGGTACCAAAAGTTGAATCTTGTATTTATATTTTACTATAATAATGCCACCCTTTTTTGCTCTTATATTTAGATTGCTCAAGTTTTCTTGTAGGAGATGAATGTAATTTTTTTTCTCAACTGATGCCAACTTACATAAAGTTGATTCAATGTCATGAAAAACAAATAATTAAAGTCATTTTGTAATCCATCATTTAAAAGGGATAATTATAATGTAATTAAGTTAATGAGAATGTTTTTTCATGAGATAGATACCATGCAAGCTTATTATAATTATATTCAAACATTATTATAATTTTTTACACATTAAACCATATATATGTATGCTTTTTTTATATTACAGTTATGCCTGCCATACTAGGAAGCATAGATATTATGATTTAAAGGCAATGATGATGGAATCTAGCCAAATTCACGATGCATCTAGCCGAATTCATGATTGAGCGAAAGATGTAACACTTGAGGTAAGGTATAGTCTATTATATCTAGTAAAAAATGGGATTGTATGTCAAAATATATAATATTTGTTTGTCAGGATAGATTGAGGGATTTCCTTCACTTTCAGGCATCTCGACATATAATATAAATTTAGGATATATAATATTATGTTATACTATAATATAAAACATCACAATGTGTATTATAATATATTATAGCTTATAATTAAGAGTTTTAGCATGTCAACAATAGTTAACAACATCAAAAGTTCTTAATATCAATTACTTGATGCACTTAAGCTGATCATCATAAAATACGATTATAATATTACTACAATCAAGCTCTGAATCTTATGTCATATGTTGAGAACAATCTACCTATCAATCCAACTGAAACCAATATTCTTTCTTATTCTTACACTTCAAAGACCTTACACTTTGTGATTTATTCCAATCACCATTTGCAACATAAGAATTTGACGGGTTGGGATTGAGCTCAATATGTCTCTTTGCCACATTATCCTCAATAAATTCATTGCCAACAACTTTACAATAACCAAGCAGTGATGTCAACATCCTAGCATTTGCCTCAAATGACATGCCATCGAAAAATCCAATACTTCATCCAGTTGACCTACTCAAACCAACAAGTCAAAAATGCATGAATAGTGCTCAATAAAAGGGTTCAAACCAAATTTATGTTTCATGCAATAAAACCATCTCAAACCTTAATCAACAAGCCCACAATGGCAATAAGCTAAGAGGATGACAATAAATGACTTTTTTTTTCAAATGACAGAAACATTTTTGTTAAAAAATAAAGAGCAACTAACGTGATATCAAAAATTTTTTGTCATTAGACAAGAATCTTGAAGCATTTTAAGTAAGATACATTCAAAATTCAAATTCAAGATCATTTGAACCATAATTTCAATAAATTTGTACTCAAACTGAGCATCTTTATAAGACAAACCTAATTGCACTGAAAAAGATCAAATTTGAGTTCAAATAAACCTAGATCATACAATTAAAGAGTAGTTAAAAGTTTTGGTACATCAATTGGATAGCCAAACGATTTCAAAATTTGGCTTGTTTATAATCAAATCAAGCATCTCGATGAAAGAAACCAAACGAGTCTAGAATCATTTAATTATGATGTCACTAAGACATTTAGATGTTGAAAATAAGTAATTTTAATCGATGGAATTAAAATGCACCGTCCGACAAAACATTTTGGGAGAATGATCAAATTTAACAAAATGTCTGTCTTAAAAACTATAAATAGCCTTTCATTCATCACTTGAAGGGGGAGGAGAAGAGAAGAACGCGCTGATAACTAAAGCTTAACTCTTAAAGTCCTGACAATTACATCGGTCACCTGAGATCGCGGTTGGTCACCAAAGTTCTCCACCGATCACCAAAAGTCATCATCCATCACTAGAGGTTATTGTCGACCGCTAGCCATTATCAATCAACAAAAATCATGACTTTCATCGCCCTACTATAACTATTATAACCTCTTGCAACTATTGCTTAAAAGTCAACCATGACTTATATACTCACCTACGACTAGTATAATCACCTACGACTGTTATAGCACCAACACAACTATTATAGTTAGACTACAATAGTTGGAGTCTCAATTATAATTAACAATCATACTGTTGGGTTATTTCGAAGCAATTGTTATTTCAATATCATATAATTTCATATTCCCTAATCCAGGTAAAGAGTGGATCACTGTACATATGATTACATAGTGAATTATTTTAATTGGGTCAGACCTCGTAATTTTTTCCCTTTTCAAGATTTTTCCATATAAAAAATAATAATAATAATTCGCCGTCCATGGCTTTTCTTTCATTTGTATGTGTACTAGATATTTATTTAATGCTATGATTGTTATATTATTGCTCTTAGGTCATTACTTTTTTAGCAAGCAACAACATATATATATATATATATATATATACATTACATACACATACACATATACATATACATATATCTATATAGATGTTTGTATGTATGTATTTTATTTATGTATATATATATATATATATACACACACACACACACACATATACACACACACATATATATACATATATCTGTATGTGTGTGTGTGCGCGCTGCAACATAGATTATTATATATATATATATATATGTGTGTGTGTGTGTGTGTGTGTGTGTGTGTGTGTGTGTGTTCTCAATCCAGTATAACCATCATGCAACTACAACTTCACTTGAACAGAACAACAGCACTTTCATCCTCTGCGCCATATATCAGTAGCATTCGGAACCAAACTTCAGTATTTCAATCAACTTAAGGAATATCTGTCGAACATTGCATTAAGTTGATCAGAAGTCCCCAATATCGGTTACTTTAAAGCTCTTAAGCTGCTCATCATAAAAAAGAATATAACATTACCAACATCAAGCTCTGAATCTTATGCATTATGTTTAGAATAGTCTATCTATCAATCCAACTAAAACCTGGATTCTTTCTTATTCTCCGCTCACACATCAAAGACCTAACACTTTGTGATTTATGCCAATCACCATTTGCAGCATAGATGCTGGATATTTGAACATAAGAACTTGACTGGCTGGGACTGAGCTCAATAAGTCTCTTTGCCACCTTATCAGCAAGCAAATCATTGCCAACAACCTTACAACCACCAAGCAGTGATGTCAACATGCTAGCATCCGCCTCGAAAGGCATGTCATTGATAAAATCCAATGCTTCCTCCACTCGACCTGCTCGAACCAGCAAGCCAACAATGCACGAGTAGTGCTCAATAAAAGGGTTCAAACCAAATTCATCCTTCATGCAATAAAACCATCTCAAACCTTCATCAACAAGCCCACAATGGCAGCAAGCTGAGAGGACTGCAATAAATGTCACCTCATTTGGTGCCACGCCAGCATTTTTCATGGCTTCAAATAATCTGAGAACTTCAGATCCCATTCCATTTGAAGCATAGCCCATTAGCATTGAGTTCCAAGGGGCCTCATCCAGCTTTCTCATAGCTACAAAGATCTTCCAGCCTTCGGTCATAAAACCACACTTGCAATAAAGATCAACTAGCGAAGTAGAAATTATTTGGTCTGAATCAAACCCCCAGACCAATGCCAGGGCAAAGCCCTGCTCTCCAAAGCCAAGTGAACATATTGAAGCAGAAGCACTTATAACGCTTGCCAAAGTCACCTCATCTATCCCAACAGCAGATCTGCGCATTTCAGAGAAGAGGTCCAGTGCTTCAGTCACAAAACCATTCTGGTTATAACCAACAATCATGGAGTTCCATGAGATCACAGTCTTGCCTTGAATCTCATCAAAAACCTGCCTTGCTTCAGCAATCCTACCATGGCTAGAGTACACTTTGATCATTAAATTCAGCAAGACGGTGTCATGAACCTTCAACTCGCCAAAAACCTTGCAAGCATTGTCCCAATCACCAGCCTTCGAGTAAGAATCAACCAAAGCGCTTCCAACAATTATGCCATCCAAAAATCCATACTTTAATACATTAGCATGAATTTGTAGCACGTTTCTAAGTGCGCCTAAAGAAGCACAAGCGCTCAAAATAGTAGCTGAAGTTGAGGAATCCGGATAAACTCCTTTTCTCATCATCATTTCAAATAAGGCCAATGCCTCTTCTACATGACCATATGAAGCATACCCAGTGATCATTGAATTCCACAAGACAATACCGGGGTCAGGTCTGCTATAAAAAATCCTTCTTGCCTCATCATATCTACCACACTTAACAAATCCAGTGATCAAAGCTGACAAAGAGAACTCGTCCTGCTCCGTCGTCAAGTCCAAAACTTTACGTGCATTGGTCATATCCTCGCACTTGCCATACATGTCCACAAGAGCACTGCCCAAAACAGCATCTAACTCTACCTTGCTGACAACTATCTGGGAGTGAATTTGCTTGCCAAGATGAAGAGTCCTGTACTCAGCACAAGCGCTTATTACAGTTGCCAACACAAACGCATCAAGGCACAATGAGGAGTGTTCCTCTAATCCTGAATTCAATCTCTTATAAACACTGAAACCCACTTGAGCTCTCCCGCTACGAAAGTAGCCATGGAGCAACGAATTCAAAGCAATCGCATCCTTCATTGGCATATCCTCAAACAGCCTCCACGCATTCCCAATATCACCTAACCTAACCAGACCAGTAATAATGGCATTCCACGAATACTCGTTCTTCCGCGGCATCCTATCGAATAATTGAACGGAATAAGAGGAGTCTCCGAACTTGATACATGCGTCGATGAGGGAGTTCCAAGAGAAGCAGTTCCGATGGATCATTTCATCAAACAGAAGGAGGGCGTCGGATAGGTTCGTGCCACAACGCGCGTACATCTGTAGAAGACAGTTGGCGGTGAAGATGGAGGCGGAGAAGCCGGCTTTGAGGAGAAGCTGATGGAGCTGTCGCCCCTTTAATATCCAACAGCTGGCGTTGCATGACCGGAGATGGGCCGCACACCATTGGAGGTCGACCGTCATTTGGTTCGGAGTTCATCCGGTTCGGAAAAGGCTTCACCTACCGCGCAAACGATGATTTACTAGTTACCTCCAAGAACCTCTTTCCAATATCCTCGGTTGTTGACTAGTTACCTCCAAGAACCTCTTTCCAATATCCTCTTGGCCGGTTATTAAGAGGTTGTTGGTGGTATTAACTTCAATAACATTAAAATAATTTTTTAATAACTTATAAATATATTTCGTAATTTAGCGTTTATCTTTTTTCCTATGTTTTGTGAGCTTATTGGAGGTATTAACCCCAATAACAGGGAGATAACCATTAAATACCCCCCAAATACCCGTCATATGACGTGCGTAAATATTATGCGAATTTTACAAAATCAACGATGCAGTTGCAGAGTTTCCTCTCGTCAAGATGCCGGGGATACATGTTATTTTGAATTTTGATGTTTTTTTAAAGACATATTTACATAAATACCTCCAAATTCTTTTGTATTTATACATCTAATTCCTAAATTATAATTTTTTGTATATTCATAAAGCCCAAATATTTTATACAACATTAACAATATACTATTCTTACTTAAAAAAAATCATTTTCATTCATTTTTAATGTTATATATATATATATATATATATATATATATATATATATTGAG